TACAGTTGGAGTAATCGTCCGTTAATTACAGTTGGAGTAATCGTCCGTTAATTACAATTGGAGTAATCCTCCGTTATTTACTTTCATAGGAGTAATCCTCCTTTATTACGCACCTAGCACTCTCTAGAGGCCACTGGGTAGTCAAGTCACGTCAGTCGCAGTCAATTCAGGAAATTGCCGATAGGTAGCGTCTTCGCGCTCGCGACTCGCACGCGCCCTGAGTCATCTACCCATCGGCCAGAATTGGGAAGGAAAACGGATATGGGTACGGTTTAGAATGCTGCACAGGGGTTGGACTAGCACCTGTGAAGCTGGAAAACTCCTTTTGTCGAAACAAATTTCACATGAGGTTCTACAGGTATTCTACTGGAATCGAATCCGGTACCAAACACCAGGGCGAAGGGCCGCCGCTCCCGTAACCGGGGTCGTGACCGCCAGGAAGGACGCCGCCCTGCCATTGATGAACTCTGGCCCGAACGGCCTTATAAGATAAGTTAATTATATTTTGTTTTTATGGATTAATTATAACGGGAGACTTCATTTCATGCAAAGGGAACATTGAAACCACTTTTGAAAAATGTATTAGAACGAGAGTAATCCCTATCACACATGCCTCCCTTTAGAGAGTCTGCGAACTGAGCAGCCGTGGCAACGCTGGATCGGACGAAATACAGGAAATAGGTGGGACGGGGCAGCCACACGGCGGGTGTGGTTACATGATATATAAAAATGTTATACAAATGTTCGAATGTGTCAGAAAATTTCAGTTACATATGTGTAAGGTTTACTCCGAAGCATCAGAGCATTAAACATTATCTCTCTAATAAAATCAGCATAGCGCCTGTATTTTGTGGGCAGCATTTGCGATCAGGACAAGAAATGTTGTTGTTAGGCAACTCCCACCTTTGGCATGTTAGCCATTTGGTGACGCGCCGACCAGTATAAACGCGCAGACTTTCTCCTCAGCTTGCAGTGATCCGCACGCCCGCAATGGTCAAGCGCGTAGGTGGCGAATCACTGTTGCTCATTTAGCGCTACCCAGGGGACACTTGTGGTAGACCACGGACGCGAGCAACTTTGTCCCCGCTTAAATTATTATTATTATTATTATTATTATTATTATTATTATTATTATTATTATTAT